TGGGTGAGCGGGGTTGGGGGGGCTGGGCGGGGGCAGCAGTAGCGTAGCTCCCGGGAGCTGAGCTGCTCGGGAACCGGAGGGGGCTGCTCCCCGGCCTGTGGTGGCACCAGAAGCGGCCACTTCGGAGCTTCTCAGCCCGGGCATCTCGCCCTGGGCGCTTTGAGCTGCTCCGTCAGGGGCTCTGACTCCCAGGGGCTCCATGTGCCAACTTTCTGTTCTTCTGAGCCCTGCTTTGGTGCCCTGATCCTGCCGCCCGGGCTCTTTTTTCTGCCCTGCTGGCTGCAGGGCTGGGAGCCAGAGCTCACAGGAAAATGTCCCTCACCCTGTTTCTTTTGAATATGAATCCAAGGCTGTATCTGTTCTTTAAGAGGTGGAAGGCACGCAGCTTTGGGCACTCTGAGCCCATCTGGCTTGAGCAATCGATCCATTTCCTTGTGTGTGTGAGAGTAGAACGGTGCTGCTGACAGTCAGGGGTTGTGTTTGGATTTACCAGACTGGGGGAAGGTAGAGGCAGGTGCCTAGTTTTCTGGGCTATGACAGTTAATGTCTCCTGGATGGAGGAGATCACCCTCCTCTCTTGTCAGACTGTAGTAGCATTGAGAAATGTACAGGTTTCTCTGGATGATTGCAGAGCTGGTGTGTGGCCATGTTGCAGCTTGTGGCAGCCTAGGCTCTGCTGCATCAGGCTCAGCAGCACTGAGGACGGTTTTAATACTACCTGAGAAGGGGGTGCTCCCAAGGGGTACCAGGAAAGTTTTATGCTGGAGCTGCTGGTTATTTCCTCTTTCAGTGTGGAGTGAAGTGACCACGAGCCAGGCAGAGGCTGGGGAGACCTTGGTTTCTGCTTCAGCATTTGGGTGAGAGGAGAGACTGAGTCAGAAGCTGAGGGTGTCTCAATCCCTCGTGTTTTCAGGGCCTGGTGAACCCACTGCTGGGCCCAGGGCTGCCTTCCTGGGCTCTCTGAATCATGGGGCTTGCACCAGTGCAGACACAATGCTGGGAACTTGAGACTGTTGGAAAAGGAGCTGAGCCCAGATACTTTTAACTTCCCCAGCCCTGTAACAATCCCTTT